TGAGTATGCAGTGGGTCACACGCAAAGGTCAGGAATTAGTTTCTTTTAATTTACATCAGATACAGTCAACAACTTTCATCTGTTTTCTAGCAATGTACCAATATATTAGCTGAATATTGGTATTGGATGATACTGTTGCTGTTGACTGATATCAGCATGTTGCAGATAAGATTACATCACTGTCAGTTCCCATTAAGTATTCGCGGTTATCACTTCTGTCATTTTTGGATCAACTGGATAATGACAAACTTTAAAACAGGTCACTTTTTTATAAAGAACAAAAGAAAAAGAAATACTGGCAATGGCTGTTGGATAAAGATTTTTAGGGCATCCCCAACCACGATCATTTCTTTTAATTCATTCAAGAACAAAACCTTTACCACTGATGGTTCTTCTCATATACTGATGTTTGTCTTTATAAAACTATGACAGACAATAGTTAGAAGTATAAGATTTTTCTTTGAAAACAGGAGCTATTTATTTATATTTTCTCTCAGCATGTGTGAGTAAGAACAGTGTACGTTTTTATGTAATCAAGAGTTTCAGCTAACAACAGGGTCATGTGTTTTTCCACATGGTCGGAATTGGGCCACAGGCCACTATTTGCTTAGAAATGAGGTGCCAGCTATTAGTCATGAAACTCAGGAATGTGAAAATTCCGACAGCAAGTCACTACTGACAAATTTATTTGTTAACCCACATCTGTTCATGTGCAGATGAAAACAATATGAACTCAGGGAACAGGCCTTGTCCCATGTCAACTATCGTACATGTCTGAGTTCCAGAGTAACCGGAATGGTAAATGTAGGCATTTCTGGGCAAACATGCCAAAGAGTTTTCATGCCCATTCAAAGACTGCATGTTTTAGCACTTTACACGGCTTTACACTGGAGGTTTATTTGCTATTTCTATTCAAACTGGATGGAAAAGATTTTTCCCCCCTCTTCAGTAGCAATGGAAGCAAGCATGTTGGCTGTGATACACGGACATCTGTTTGTCCTTGTCTGCAATGAAAGCCTGAAGCGTGTTGCATGTCCAAATTGGGAGTGCCTTCCATTCAGACACTTGTATGAGCCTAATGACCCCGGTGCCCGGGGTCGGCTCTTCATTGGCTTCCCTGTTTTTTTTTTTACCATTTTCTCAAATTTAAATTGTCTGCCCCTCTCGAAAGGGCCCCCATCACGTTTCAAAAACATTATGGCTAATACATTCCAATGTGTGAGGTCACTGGTGGTGGCAAAGTGTCAGAGCAAAGTGTCTACCACAAATGTTCATCTATTGGTTGCCTTCAGTGAAGGGCCAGGCAATACAAAGGCATCCCGGATCCAACAGTTCCAAGACTTCCACTTCTTTCCCGTTACCCATTAGCATTAGAGGAACAACCATCTGGGGTGGTTAAAACACTGGATTTTTTTGACGGGGTGCCTTTGTTTTTGGTGATGACTAATCTGAGTAAGCTTTAGTGGGAAAGGGGCAACGCTGTAATTAACTTTCTGAAGAACCGGTGTAAATTCCAAGGCTGACAAATACTTAAAAAAAAGAGAGAACAGGAAAGCAAAGCCCTTATAAATGGACACATCATCGTCTTGTAATTAATAAAACTGGATGCCTGCTGAATGATTTCCCTATGATGATGCCTTTCAATTCAGGAGTGAAGTATACAACATGATCAGATATGAACTGAAGTGAGACTTTGACAAATTTCATATATTTTCTACTGGACTACCATTTAATAAGCATAGATGCAAAAAAATGCCACAACACCTACAATATGTAGTTGTATCTGTAATGTAAAAACAAGTTCTTTTTAACTTGCTAGCTAGATCATCAATCCCAATATCTTCCTTCCAACGGCGAGAAATTGTTTGCTGGTTTTTGCATTTCTTTCATATAGCTGAGATATTGACCACTAGACTACGCTTGAACTTTGAACTTGCACACTCTGTTTATATATACATCTACACATATAGTAGTGTCTTAGATCTGGGGAATTATTTTGGTAGATATTTCCTTAAGAGGATAAATAAAAAAAAATATGTTCTGCTATTGTCCTACGTGAAAATTAGGGGATCACCAAAGGCAGTCTGACTTATTCTTTGTAAACCCTGAATCTGTTATCAGAGTCCAGATTAAATTATCTTGCACTGTAAATAATAAATTATGTCAAATCTGGCTTAACTTTATAATTTAAGCGAGACATTTCATCAAAAACCAGCAACAATGTCAATGAGGAAAGACAAAGAGAGGAGCAGCAGAAGAGACAGTAAAGGTTGTCCAGACCAGACTAAATTAAACATGAGGTTCATTTAGTCAAACCAGAGCATTTCTCCTGAGTCCTGTCTAACGTGGGTCATCGTGAATATCCACGTTATTGTTCATTCTCAATCACCAGTGGAGGAGCAAAGTGGGGTTAAAGACAGTCGCCCTCTAATAAAGCTTTGTAGGGCACGGAGCATTCGGAGCCAACAGCTGTCCAAACAAAGGCCTGTTTCCCACTCATCGTTACACCAAGTGTCACTGTCAGTGGCTACTTATATGCATAGCCAAACCATCATAAAACATTAATATGCCGAGCCTGCGCTGCCAGTGATGGTCACATGGCACTCCTGTTACACCGACATTACTCAGACCCATGTTGGACATGGAAATAGGTTAAAATTACTTGTAAATCTTCTGAGAGATATTTGAGGAAGATATGAAAGGTCTGCAGTGGACCTGAAGGCTTAGACGGCTGTTGAAACACAGCCAGGCTCCTTCCCCGTGTGTGCATCTTCTCATCATACACAATTACCATCCAGCACATGCTCCCCTGGTATCCCGTGGGTCTCCTGTGGGTCTCATCACTTCTCGCCTTCTGCACCAACTTACCCATTCACATTCTCCCTAAGATGTAGATAAAGGTTTTGATATCAGCCACCATGAGGATGTGATTTTCTTCAAACAGCTTCAAGGTGTAAAGTTTAAATGAATAAATCCCGTCTCTGCCTGCCTTGAAGAACAGCTGACACACCTTAAAGGATTTCACCAGCTTTTGGCGGAAAACCTATAGTGGCCCAAAATAAAGTTTTCGAGACTGAAAACTTTTAAGAGATATGTATTTCTGAATTTTTTTTTTTTTTTTAGCAAAAATGCCTTTTATTCTCTTACAAATTGAAAAAAGGACTAGTAACTGTCTTTGCCTCATACTGTAGGTGTGACTGATACTGCTGCTGCTTCAGTTACCAATGACAGCTCTATAATTCTGCTAATGTTACTGTGTTTTACCAACACACTTTTAGGGAGTTGTGACCACAAAGGCAACATTTTTGACAGAAATGGCAGAAGACTAACATTAAGTGTTTTATCTTATGTCCAACAAAAGAAGAAAAAACCCCCCACAATTGGCAGAAACCCTAAAAATCCCATATTTACTGTCAGCATACTAGTCTATCAAACACCCTCAGGTTGATGGTTTCTCTCTCTACAAACTCCTGTTGGAAACAAAAGCATGAAGCTGAACTCATGATAAGAGGTTGGGAAGCACATGGAGATGTGTGTTCAACCCATAAGCACCACATGTAATCTAATATTTTATACTTTTAGAAACACGTTTCTTTGTTCCTCCTACACACCCCATTATTTGTATTTCCTTGAATGTGATTTTTATCCAGCTAATTTCACACATTTTAATTTCTGTGCATATAGCCATGCCACTGACATGTCTATGTGTGACCACAGTTCAAGTCCTCCAAGGGACTCCCTTTTTTTTTATTTTTTTAACTCAATCAATAAAAGTAGGGTTAGGTTTGTGATATTAAAACTACCTAGCTAGGGTTAGCCAAGTACTTGGTTTCTTAGAAAATTTTCTTGGTTGCCAGGGTGATGCAGAGCTGCTGACAATCTCATCCATAGATGTGATCATATGCATGCAGAAGCAAAGCACGTTTCCTGTTGTATTTGTTTCAAACTCGTGCTGAGCTTAAAGAAATAAAACTATTTGTGTCTGTGTACACGATCAAAGAGCTTATTTCTAAAGACATTTTTTGCCATCTGACCAGGCTGGTGTGTTTGTTTCAGTAAGGCTGCCGCTTTACAACAGGCACTGTGTATGTTGGAGATCTGGGACAGGAACCAACCGGCAGCATCTAATGCAGAGCAGCTGTCTGTCTCCTGGGTTACAGAAGCCTACTGTCTGCTGGCAGCCATAAAGTGTACAGCTGGACCTACTTCAGCAAGTAGTCCAAACACACATGCATGCTCACACTCACATACGTTGGACAAGCGCATAGTAACACTAACCATCTTGGCACTGCTGTGCCATCGGACAATAAGCATCAGCCCTAATGAAGGTAGAATAATTCAGCAGATTATGACACTGTTCTATCTACAAACATCACTCTTTTTTACCGGCTCTCTGGTAATAATAGGGAAACAGCCGACAAGAGGAAAAACTTTTCCCAGTAAAACATAATTGGCAGCCAGGTGCATGCAGTAAAAAGCACAATTAAGACAACCTGAAGGCTCGAATTACAAAACATAGAATGAATTACAGTAACTGCTTTGCAGAGCAAGAAATGGTTTTGCTAACATCATCCACACATTCTCCATGTGAGATCGATGTATAGATTTCAACATGGTCACTATCACTGCCATGAAAACCTGTCAAAGCACCTCAGAAATCAAAGGAAAAATCTGAAATGTTGGTCAGCTTACGCTAGTTACACCAAATTTTCATTTTTGGGGGGCAAACAATCCAGTGAATAATCAAAAGATTTTTTCTAATGCCAATAACCATTGCACTATCTATGCATTTCATAAAATTGGCCAAAACAGGATAGAAATCTTTGGAAAAAGTTTGAATATACACTAATATGGAAGAACAGAGCTGAGACAGTGTGTTTAAAGTTGTCATTCACTGCCATTTCCTTTTCAAAATGGATCTTAATTAGGTAAGTGAAGCAGCCCATTCATTCTGCTCTTATTCAAACACTGGCTCAGTGCAGGTAAAGGAGGTAACTTACCTTGAAGAGAATGCTTGCAGCCTCTCCACCGATGAGCAATCTAAGAAGCCTTGAGGAGAGCCTTATCAGCCTGCCCTGACAAATGTTCTCACCGGTCTGTATCTCTCAGAGCACTGACAGCTCTGTCATCTTCCCTCTTCTCTCTGTTCTCTTTGAGTGTTTACTCGAGTCTACCTAGAGAGCCAGCTGATGTTGAGCAGCCAGTGAGGAGAGAGAGAGAGAGCGAGAGAGAACGAGAGGCTGAGAGAGGGAAAGAGTGAGTGAAAGAGAGAATTCCCTTTCTCTTAAACACTAGACCCTCTGCGGTCAGACTCCACTCCCACCTACTGCTCTCTTAAATGCCCACCCCACCACCTCCACCTCTCCCATTCACCCTCTCCACAGCATTGTGAGTGAAAGCGAAGGAGCTGAAACAGGACGCCTCAAGGCTGGAAGAAGAGAGTGAGCCAGAGAGAGAGAGTAGGAGAGTGAAAATGGGGAAAGGGAGGTGGGTAGAAGGGGTGGAATGGGATGGGGTGGTGGTTGGACCATTAGCAGCAAATTGCAGCGGGCAAGCCAATCGAAAGCAAGATATGAGTGAATGCAGGGCCTGCATTAACATAGCATTAAAGGACTTGAAAGCAGGGAGTGAAAAAGGGCCGCCAAAGGCTCCGTTTGTGAGATTGATGAGCCTGGGTAACAATGAATATGCACTCAAATGATGTGCTGGACCCATGTTGAACATATCATATTAAAACAAAAGTTTTAACTAGCTACTGTTGCTAGTTTCTGATTGCTTATACAAAAAAGGGCAAAAAAAAAAACACCTTACAACACCAAAGAATGGCACCAGATAAATCTCTACAATCCATCTGGGAATTCAAGACTAGAAATAGCGATCCATCTATTTAAATGCTCTTTATAGATTTTTACACTTTCTGACCTAAAGTTCAGAAACATACCAATGTCAGAGGAATTACTTTTGAACATGGAAAATGACGCCAACTGAAAGTCACATAAATTCTATGACGTTTGCAGTTTATACAACCGTCAGTGTCAAAACTGTCAACAAACCATAACACTTTTGTGAAATGTTTGTGATCAGTGTTCTCCAGTTTCAGTGGAATGCCAACTCATGCTTGGCTAAGTCTTTTTAGATGCAAGTCGTGAAACTTGGCAGCCTTCTTTGCAACTGGGAAGTTACTTTAATGCATCTATCGATCGATTGATCTATGTAAATGAACAGTGGTTGCAGAGAAAAAAACTATATGTAAAATAAGCAGTGAAATATTTACATAAGGCTTCACCAATTTTGCAAAAAAAAAAAAAAGTTTAGGAAAAAGTTTTGTTCTCCTTTCAGTTACACATCAAATACACATCCACCCAGTTTCACAACAATATGGTTCAATCCAGGTGTCTTGTTCTTTCTGATGTTGGCACATCCATCTCAACGGTAATCTGCTCCTTGTCAACCACCACTCTGTCTTGTTGTTTGGCCAGTAGCTGCTTGTCTGTCTGGAACTTGAAGTCCCACAGCCCTGCCATTCTCAAACACCTTTGGCAACGTCACCCATCAGTACTTGGGGACTTCTAATCCATATGCAGCTCAGCTTTTTCCCGCACTCTATTCCAGTGACTTGGCTATGCTTTTACATTCTGCTGCTATGTACTGTACAGAGGTACCTTTGCACAGCCTGCAACTTGGGTACTGTTGGCTGTGGCAGACTGCCTGGATCCGGTGCCGGGGGCTTGCTCTTATGTTTTTTTTTCTTTGTTTTCTGGCTTTATTTGATAGGTACAGTGAAGAATTGCAAGTATAGGAGAGGTGGAGAACGAGTCAAAAGGGCCATTGGTCGGACTCAAACCGGCATCCGCCATTCTCAGTCATATGGCATCTGGTTACCTGCACTGAGCTAAACCAACGCCCGGGCACAGCCTTTTCTAGCCACTGATAGGATTTGTCTTAGCCTCTTCCTCGGTAATTGGTACAACCCATGCAGGGACTTGATTATCCATGATAGTTCCTCTTCCTGTTCCTCATCACGGTCTGTCTTCAGCTGCCTGAAGCACTCTTGGAGCATCTCATCTCAGGATGCAAGCTTTATGATGTGTTTATAGATACTTTAGCCTGGACTGTGGCTTGACTGCCGCTGATCCTAGTTGTCCTTTCCGTTGCAGGACAGCCTCAGGGTACAAGCCTTCACGGTCCCATTGAGTTCCTGATTAAGGTTACCAGTACAGTATTGTAGCCTTGTATAGTGCCAAGCACTCCAGTGCCCACATGTAGGCCACTGAGTCAGAGACTTTCTTGTATTCAGACAATATACGGCATATAATAGCATTATTACTTTATTATTCGAATGATTACTTTAGTATCTTTGAATTTCAGATTTCGGTTACATACTGCAGATTATGGTACAGACCATAGTTAGTTCCTGAAGTCCAACAAAAAAAGATGGGATTTGGATGATTATATTGATAGAATAATGGGGGTTTCATTGATTTATCCATTTAGTGACTAAGGCTGTGACTGCCAAGTTAAAACCTGACACGCTTGATCAAACAGTCGTGTCAGTAACAATGTCTATAGTTTTCTTTGGATACCAATTGTATGGTGGATGCAATTCTGCGCTAAATAATTTATGTAAACAGGGAGAGCCGCCTGAAGTAAATACAGGAACAAAGAGTTTAGGAGGATCCTGCTTTACTCAGTTCAGATTACACTGGACCTGTGACTTTAAAATAGAGAGAAAAGCTCTTTCATGAGAATGAGTGTGGAGGAGGGTGTGACATTCATTAAGTCAAAATATCACTCCTAAGACTGATTGTAAAAGCCTTTACTGGTGGTACTGGGTTGGGTTCTGCTCAGTGCTTAACCTCTTTATCAGGCTACCAGCAATCTAGCTAGGTGTTGAGTTGGGGTTGGGTTTGTCAACAGACATTTGGCATTACAGTTTTTTTCTGTTAAAAAAACAATCCCCATTTGGACGTTTCAAAGATGTGAACATTCTATAAAAAAATTTGTGAATGTGAACTTAAACAAATCCTAATCCTAACCCAGGTGACAGTAACCTCATGGATGCTAAAATGGTAAAACTGCAATTTCTCGAGCAACACGACTGTACATTTCCATCTTTTTTGAAGCACCTTTTGGGAAATATGCATTCTCTAATCTCAAACGTATGAAACACTGATAAAGATTGCTGGTATGTGAGCGACAATCTATTCTAAACATCAGTGGGGTGTACGTGCCGAGGTTTACATCAAGACTGAACAGAGCTTTTCTCTTCAGGGGAAATGATCCTCGTCTTGCTGCTGAGAGCCTGTGGCCAGTCAGGCAGAAAACATCTTCTCTAATCCCATATAAAGCACAATGACACACATGCAGCACAGCTATAGTTGTGATAAAAAGCAAAATTCAATGACTTGAGGGGCCCCTAAATTTTGGTTCTCATCCCTGCTCCCCAGAGAGAAGAGGGAAATGTACACAGTCTGGGGGATAAAGATTTTTTTAATGACTTCTTGCTGTAATGATATCATTTAGATGAGAGAACTGGTTGAAGGCTTGGCTATGTATAGCACCTGTTTTAAATGACTGTAAATGTAGAATCCCTGCGTCTCTCCATCTGTTCCTGTTCTCACCTTCCTGTTGCACTCTCTCTTTCCTTTTCCCTCCTTCACAGCCCCGACAGGCTTCGCAGAGAATTGCTGTGGGAGTTCTCCACCTCCCTGTTTGCAAAGGCGTACCTGTTCGCCAACTTTCGGAACAAGTGAACTGAGCGGGTTTGATTTCCCAGATGACACCCGGTACGTGAATCCTCGCCTGTCATCCAATTTCAAACCAGACGTCTGCTTGAGGGAGCCTATTTTATTTCCATTAGAGCAAAACAAGGTTTGGTTTTATCGGCTGTCTTAACATATACACAGAAGGAAAAGTGGTACAATAACTGAGCATAAAGAGAGAACCGCTACCTGAGTGGAGTGTTACTATATAGGGCAAGAAACATCACAAGGGACGGGCTATTTTCAAGAACTGGTTCTTGCAAAATAATCAATATAAAATTCAATTTTTGAGCTGGAAAGCGCAATCAAATCAGTTATGAAACAATACACAATAATGAGGTTTTGGTGGTCTTTGCAATCCTCACTGCAGGAAAATTTCATCTAAAAGGAAAAGTGAGGCAAAGGTTGCCTAGAGCACGTATAATAAGGTCTTCTTGCCACCATATAATTGGTGGTGTCTAACTTGAAGGAAGGAAGGAAAAGGGACTCTGTGGGAAGTGAGACACATTCTGTCAATGACAGTGAGACCTAATTATACGATTGCAGCCCCTGCAGCCATGGTGCATGTCAAAGCGGGCAGCAATAAGGCTGTCGATGGGAAGACACACCACCTGCAGTTGGTGTGTGTGAGCTTTCAGGTGACCTGGAAAGACCTGTTTACCTCATTAAAAATGAATCACAAGGTAATAAGGGCTCCGCTCTCCATTCCTCCCTCCCAATGTCTGTCCTTCATCCATTATGCAACAGTGAGGTGGGGTGGTGTGGGTTAAGTCCTCAGGGAGGGTCACTTGGATGGACACCCAGTCTGCCCCCTCCTCCACAAGCTACTGAAACCCCCTCTATGATTCAATAATGAGAGAATAACACAGCAATGGGGAGTATAATGTTGGTGACGAGCAATGCGGCAGGGAGTCCAGGTAGCAGCAGCCATCAGCTGTTTTTTAGAGGGCTATCTGCATCAGAGTGTATTTGTAATAATAACCAGTTTAATCTAAGAGGGACTGTAATTTCAATAAACAAAGTAATAGACTCTGCTTTCAACAGCTCTGTGCGATGGAAAAAAACAAGATGTGTGTAAGGTGGGGGGGAGTAGCTGACAAGGATATTCCAATTTAATTGAGTTCAATTTAATTCAAAGCAGGTGCTTTAGATTGTAAGGTAAAGACCCTACAATAAGAGAAAACCCCAACAATCAGACCTGACCCGCTATGAGCAAGCAGTTTAAAGCTCACTCATTAATAGATCTCTTATACAGGAACCACAGACGGTCTACAAGATAGACATAGCCACCGGTCTCTTACAACTTCATTGTTAGCATTTTAGCATTTGCATTTCAAATTTGGATAGCAAGCTGCAAAGGTGCAATGAACAGTTAGTCATATTAGTTCATTATTAGCTAACATAATACTCTAGTTTCACTCACCAAAACTGAAGCACAAACTGTGCCACACGACGAGTCTGAATATGAGCTGAGAATCCTTTAAAAATTCTCCATGAAGAGAAAACAACAGGAACAGAATAGAGAGGTCCACTGGAGGGTGAGGCTGAGATATCAGCTCCCGCTGTCTGTCTTGGCACCTGTATAAAGACACAGACATGCTCCTAACTCCAGCATTAAAACATTTATGTGTGTGGTGAGTGAGTGGGGAGTAGACTATA